TTAATTTTTCTCATCACTCTCTCTCTCTCCCCCCCGGGGCCGACGGGGCAGTCTTCCCTTTCTTTTTTTCTCTACCTGCACAAGTGGACATTTACCGGTGGGTTCAGACTTTATTGGCCCAAAAATGGGCCTACCGAACTGTCGAAGAAAATAGGGTTTTTTGGGTGTTGGTATAATTTTTTAGACTTATTTGAACAAATGTGTGTGAATAAATTATTTATTCTATTAAGTACAATTTTTATAAAATTTTTTGTGTTTGGGTACAAAATTAAAAATGAATTAAAATATTTTTTACCTAAACATCATTCCTTAATTTATGCAGTTATCATTGACAATTATTTGAGAAAATAAATATGTAAAGATTAACAATAATAATGAAAGGTAAAATAGGAGTTTACAAAGAGTGAGAGGAAGCAAAAACAAAGGTATTTTATGCTAGAAGATAAAGATGAAGGAAAATGGATTCAAAGTATAAGTGAAATATATATATATACACACGCGCGCGCATACACACACATATATATGTCGTCTCATGCCACCAACCTTGCTTCCACATCATCTGACAAAAAAGAATAAAATTTTTTACTATGATGATTGATCAAATTCTAAATTTTTTTCAAAAAGAAAAAAGAGAATTGGTCAAGATGTTTTGTTATTTGTTGTTCGGATGTAGGAAAAAAAAGAATCTTTTTATTTTTTTAATAGGTATAACTGTTTTTTAATTGATGTAACTATTTTTTAATGGGTGTAACTATTTTTTAAATGAGTGTAACTGTTTTTTAATTGGTGTAATAATCACAGTCTCATGCAATTGTTAAAGCATGATGGTGTAATGATACCGCAATACTAAATGATGCAACTATTTAGTTTATGTAAACAGCTGAATGACAAATTGAGTTGATGTCATAATTTTGTGTAATTATTTTGTATAACTGTTTGATTTATTAGAATGCATGAATAACTGTTTGGTGCATTATATGTCAATTGTAACTAATTAATGTAACTGATTAGTATAATTGTGTTGTTGTAATATTAATATAAATAGAGTAAGAGAAAATAGAGAGAGAGAGAGAGAGAGAAATTGTTAGAAAAATATGCCCTTATTTTACCTCTCATTACTTGATTATAGCCAAAAAAAAGAAAAGAAAAAAATACACAAGGGTTTTCCATCCGTATGCTGTTTATCGATGACAATAGTTGTATTGTAAAAAAATTTGCACTTTATCTCAAATAAGTTTTTGATTTATACTTTTGTCTAAATAAGTCTAAAAAATTATACCGACTTTTAAATTTCCCAAGAAAATATTCGTCAGCAAATGAAGTTTAATTAGTGGATTTGACTATGATACGGAGAAAACAAAGTTAGTACCATATTTTCAAATTTTATTATTTTAAAGGTATGTTTATAATATTTATAGGTTATTTTATAACTAAAAAATTTATTATTTTTATGGGTGATTTATTATTTTTGTGGGTGCTTTTATTATTTTTGTGATAATTATTTTTATCACTTTTCTTTCATATAAAAAAAATTATTACTTTTTTGGATGTTTTATTATATATATTGATATTTTTTATCACATTTATGGATGTTTTTACCATTGTTATGATATCTATTTTTATAAAAAAATTTTAATATCACAACAGTGATAAAAATACTTACAAATGTGATAAATAAAGGTATGATACCGATTTCTTTTTTGATACCTTAGTTAACTCCGGTCAAACTTCATTTAGTGGGACCGGTTACTTTTATATATATATATATATATTTGGGGGTCAGTCATATTTAAAAAATTTATAAAGCTTTAAGTTATACCTTAAACATATTTATTCTTAAATCTCACTCATTTTTTTAATAAATAGTTAAGTCCATGCATGTATACATACTAAAAGTAACCGGTGACCAAAGATACAGTGCAACGTAAATCAACTGGTTAAATTAAAAAATTGAGGAGTGTAGATCATAGAGAGAGAGAGAGAGAGTGAAGAGTAAGGAGATGAAGGTAAAATTCAATGTTAATAGATTTGGGAAGAATATTGCCGGTCATTGGTTAGACTTAAAGTTTATTATATTTTATATTATAAATATATCAGTCATTACTCGTATTTGAAAGTAGTATACAATAAATAAAAAAAGTCTTAAACAATTGTTCAAATTCAAAATGAATGACCTAAAAATATTCATACTAATTTTTATTTTAAATTGATTCAAAAATATATCGTCGATCATATCATCCATATTAATGAAACTGTTATAAAAATATATAAAAACTTCCCAAAATAACACCATATATACAAATGCCTTGAAAAAAAAATATTAATATAACTCATTAAAATTTACAACCTTTAAACAATTAATTAAATTTTGTTTATTTATAAGACTCACAAATTTATCACATCTATTATTACTCAATTTAATAACACAACATAATTATAAACTCAACTACTATATCTCGAATTCATCCTATCACCATGTAATAAATACCTCAAAAACAAAAATTAACAGAATATAATTAAATTTATAATTTTGAAGTGATAAATAAAATTAATTAAATCTTGTTCATCTATAAAACTCATGAATTTATGACTATTATTATCATTTAGCTCCAAACGATATAATATAATTATAAATTTAATCACTAAATGTTCAATTCTCCACGTATAAATATACATAAAAACAGACCCACACACATTTTTTTTGATTATCAAGAAAACCTCTTAGCCAATAACTGCTTTTATTAAAAATACAATATATAAATTGTTTAAAATAAAATAATAATAAATCAATATTTAATTAAAAAATATAGTAAAAATCATGGAAATTCCTTTTGTCTCCATTCTGTTAATGTTATTAACAGAAATTGATAATTTGATTCCAAAAAATTTTATTATTTTTACAATTGCCCTTCTCCAAATTTAGTATCAAAAAAATTAAAAATTAAATTAAATTAAATTAAAATTTATTTAGTACCTAAAAAATTTATATAATTTAGTATTCCAAAAAATTGATTAAATTAATTTTAATATTAATTTGATAATAATAAAAATTAATTTGATATTAATTCGAAAAAATTGAATATAAATTGGACAAAATTAAATGTCAATTTTTGATAAAAGTATATATTAATTTACAATCTAAAATTTATTTTGTGTTGAATATTGTTTGGTATTTATAATCAATGTGCTATTTTTTATTTATATTAAGTGTTATTTACAAATTAAGAAGTAAGTGACAAAATATATACCGTCAGATATATAAAATTTTTAAATTAGTTTCATGAAATAAATAATTATATAAAATGCAATTTCATCTGTTTTATAGAATAAATAATAGTATAAACAACACAACAAAAACAAAAAAAATAATAATATGAAAAGAGAGAGTAAGATAGATAGATAGATAAAGTTATTTGAGAGATTAAAGTCTTAGAATTATAAAAAGAGTGAAGTTTAATTAGAATCATCGTATCAAAACAATTTGAACTTACAAAAAAAAAAAAAAATCCTTATTGGAATGCTTCACGTTGGAAGCACTTGCCAAACTGATTTAAAAAATTGCAAACGAGAGAAGTGACAACTGATCCAGTTAATTCATTATTCATGATAATTAATTTAACTCAATAAATTATAACTTTGTTTTTAAAAATAATAATTACCATAATTTGTTTTTGCGTATCTTGAAATTATTCTAAACTTTAAAAACTAATAAGATAATGATTAATCTAATGATTACCGTCTCGTCATCCCCTCCTTCTAATGCATTGTGACGGAAAAAAAAAAGAACAAGAAAATTCAGGACACAAAAAACGAGAAGAAAAAGTAAAAGCGGTAGAGACCACGCAGCAATTATCTTCTTTGGACCAACAGATATGGTAATGGCCGTGATTCGCTCCTATCCGAAAACAGAAAATCACGCGCGGTCAATGGTTAAAACCAACAACCTTATGATATACCTCCAATCAACTCTGCCTAATCTTTTAATTATTTTAATTTAATTTTAATATTAATAAAACTTTTCCATATATTTTACTCATTATAGTAAATGAAGATAAATTTACGGAATAATAATATTCTTGATTCTTAAAATATATAAATTTTATCAATTTAGTCTTTAAAGTATCAATTTTATCTATAAAATATTAAATTTGTGTTTAAATTATCTTTATATAAAAGGATCATTAAATTTTTAATGAAATAATCACGTATTGAACACGTAACGTATCATTTCACTTCCGTCAAAAAATTTAATTAATTGTATGATTAAGGATTAAAATAAAATAAATTTAAATTTAAAAATTAAATTGATAAAATTAATATAATGAGAAGTAAATTGACAAAATAAACATACTTTAAGAATTAAAATTACTATTAATCTAATTATTGTTATATAATTGTCCATTTTATGTGTCTACGTTTATATAAAATTAATAGTTAGAAGAATTAAATTGAGAATAACTGAGGTGTTTACTAACACTATTTTACTCTCTTGCTCCGCCCGTGACGTTCACTTTCTCTCACTATTTTACACAGCACACACTTTTTCTCTCTCTCCGCAATCACATTCTCTTTCCTCTCTCCAAAGTCGCGTTCACACACTCTCTCCCTCTCTCTCTCTCTTCACTGTAACAACCCTCCTTTTCTCTCTCTCTAAAACCCTTTTAGTTTAGTGGTGTCTTCCAATCGTTTTCGTAGAACCAGTTCACACTGCTGCTACTCACCCACTACACCACTGACCTCTGTTTTTCTCTCTGCGAAACTACCATCTCTGCATATTCAACCCTATAAAGTTTTGCAGTTATTGGTCCATTTTCTCTCCATTTTTAGTTGCATAGGATTATGAAGTAACTACTCTACTCTACACCTCTCTTGGAAGATCCATCTATGTGGAGAAATCACCCATAGTCCTCTTTATCTCTCTCTCTCTCTATAACTAACACATTGTTGATATATATATATATACATATCGATATATATAGTTCTCAAGGATTTGAACCGAAATGGAGAGAAAACAAGGGTTCTTTGCGGCTCTAAAAGAAGAAGTAGTTCGAGGTTTATCGCCGGCGAGGTCACGTGGAAAGAGTCCATCTCGGAGTGTGTCGCCGATGTCCGGCCTGTTCCGAAGGAGGAACAGCAAACACTACGTGGCGAATCCTGAGGCGTTGATCGCGAGATCGGGAAGTTTGAGGCCGGTGACTGAGACATTAACGCCGTTGATGGAGGGTCCGGATCCGGATGAGGGATTCGGGGATTCTAAGCGGGCCGGGTCAGGGTTGGGGTATTGGGTGAAGGGACAGCTCTCGAGGTCTCCCTCGGTGGCTTCCAATGGGTTGAGGAGGTCTGATCTCAGGCTGTTGCTTGGTGTAATGGGTGCCCCCCTCGCCCCGGTGCACGTTAGCACCACTGACCCCTTGCCACATCTCAGCATCAAGAGCACTCCTATTGTAAATCTCTCTCTCTCTCTCTCTCTCTCTCTCTCTCTCTCTCTGTGCGTGTGTGTGCAGTTTAGGTATATGTATGTCTCTCTCTCTCCTTTTACTGAAGTTTAACTGTTTTTATGGTAGCTTGTGTACTTGCATTTTCTTCTTACTCCTTTTTTTTAATCAAATTATTCCATTTAAATTATATTTTTCGATTTAGATTTAGTTTACCTGTATTGAGTTTTGTCAGACTTGTGCTTTAAATTTACCCAAGCCAGTATGTAGAAGAGCTTTAGTTTGGAAATTGCTGATTCACCATCCATGGAATCATTCAATTTTTATGGTCTAATCGTCTATTTTGGTTTGTTGTTTTGTTCTGTTCATGAGGAAACTCGGGGAAAATGAAGATCACGTCAAGCAAGCCATCAATAACTTTGCTTGACATAATCTTTAGGATTCCGGAAAAAACATAGAATTGTAATTTAGATTTCAGTCCGTGATTTGGGAGTTGAAGTTCTGCACTAGCTAACACACAACCAAGAATTGGGAAGAAGTTGATATTATTATTATTAGTATTATGTTTGTGATAGTTCAACCCCTTGAGTCACTGTTAGATTCTTCTCTCCCCTTTAAGCTGGTGAAATGCTAAAAAGTTAGTCATCTGTGCATTGTAATATTGCAGGAAACGTCATCTGCCCAGTACATATTGCAGCAATATACAGCTGCATCCGGAGGGCAAAAGCTCCAAAACTCAATTAGAAATGCTTATGCCATGGGGAAGGTGAAGATGGTAGCTTGCGAGTTTGAAACTGCGACAAAGGTTGTGAAGAATAAGAATGCTGCTAGAGCTGCTGAGTCAGGCGGATTTGTCCTCTGGCAAATGAATCCGGACATGTGGTATGTTGAGCTTGCAATTGGGGGAAGCAAAGTTCACGCAGGCTGCAATGGCAAGCTTGTCTGGAGGCACACCCCTTGGCTTGGTGCTCACACTGCAAAAGGGCCTGTTAGGCCCTTACGTCGTGCCCTTCAGGTGATGCTATGTTCTAATTGATGTGCTCTGCTTTAGGTAGTTATTATTTGTTTTATTTCCTTTGTCTTAGTCCTCTAATTCATTCTAGATGTGGCTCTGTTCTTTGTAGGGCCTTGATCCAAGAACCACTGCTAGTATGTTTGCAGATGCCAGGTGCATAGGTGAGAAGAAGATTAATGGAGAGGAGTGCTTCATCCTTAAGCTTTGTGCTGACCCTCACACATTAAAGGCTAGGAGTGAAGGCCCAGCAGAGATCATAAGGCATGTCCTGTTTGGGTACTTCAGCCAAAAGACAGGACTTCTTGTTCACATGGAGGATTCCCATCTTACCCGCATTCAATCCAATGGCGATGAAGCTGTTTACTGGGAAACAACTATAAACTCTTTTGTAGATGATTACAAGCCCGTTGAAGGGATAATGATTGCCCACTCAGGCCGTTCTGTGGTGACCCTTTTCAGGTTTGGCGAGATGGCACTCAGCCATACCAAAACAAGGATGGAAGAAGCCTGGTCAATTGAAGAGGTTGCATTCAACGTTCCAGGCTTGTCACTAGACTGTTTTATCCCCCCAGCTGATTTAAGATCTGGATCCATCAGTGAAACCTGTGAACTCCCTCATGAGGAAAGGGGAAAGAGTGCAATTTCGCTCGCAGCTCATCGGGCTAGGGTTGCAGCATTGGAGAAAACACGAGAGTGCAGCAGGGATAATTTGGTTTGGAAGGTGGAAGTCTAACAAAGGATAGGATCAAATTAGGGTAATTGTTTATATGACAAGGTAGTTGCTAATGGACTAACACATTGTGGGTTACAAAAGTAGGTGTTAGGTTGATTGAGGAATTTAGAAGTTTGGGTAAGCCTCTGTTAATCTGTAAATAGAGCATAACCATTCACAGGTCCTTTCTGAACCTGGATGAATATTTATACTCTCAGTGCAGAATCCAACTATGGAGTTGGTGCTCGTGCTTCCCAGTGATGGATGGAGCAAATGGAGGTTTCTTTTTCGAATTTTAGCTTCCATGGATGGAGGAAGGTGGTGAAACTTTAATAGCAGAACCATTGTCCTTGAAATTTGATTCTACTAATTTCTTTTGCCTTATATGTATACGGCTGTGGTGGTGAGAAGAACACTGCTTCAAAGAATAGACTTTAAAATCTTACTAGCTCTTTAATTTGACGGCATTTTTTGTGTCATTTTATTTGATAGTTTGTTTGAGTAAATGGTAAAGATGTTTCTTGGTGTGGGGGGGGGGGGTAATGTGGTGCCTCTGAAGCTTAGGAAAGATGGCTACTTAGAAGAGAAGAAAATGGTAAAATGGGTCTGCTATGGATTTCTGGTTGTAGTGTGGAATCTTGTCAGTGCCGCTAAGAAATCGTGTAAGCAGAACATTTTAGTCCAGGTTTTGAATGCTTCTCAAAATATAGATAAGTATCTCTCCTTATTCTTTGTCTTTTTACTACTTATTTCTGATGCCTTCTGATAAGGTATAAAACAGAACTTTGGTACTCCACTTCCACTGTATATTGAATGCCTGTGGGTGAAATTTGTTTTTCAGACGTTCTGTCGTATAAGGTAGTCTATATACCCTTCACTCTTAGACTTAAAAAAAACAAAAAAAACAAAAAGTCCATTACATATGAAACGGTCTTTCTCTTGTGTTGTGTACATCTGAGTTTCCTCGGACACCACAATAATTCGTGTTTCTCGGGATTTATTTTATGTTTGCAAAATCATTCTCTTGCCTCTAGATCCAAATCGAGCCATTGATACAGTAGAATGTGATCTTGATTGGAAGTGGGTTTCCATCCGATCGATGCACAGCGTGTGTAAGGCATATTATAGCAACGAGGCACGGGGTAAAAGTTAGACAACCCCACGTGGTTTCCTAGTCATCCATCTCATATTTTTTTTTTTGAGTACTTAAAAAATAGACTTGATAATTTCAACTATTGATTTCACTGTGGGTCTCAGCATTTATTAGGATTCACTACCTATTCAATGGTTAAGATTATCAAGTCTAATTTTTAAGTCTATTTAGCATTACTCTTTCTTTTCTTCCTCGGGTGCTTTGTTTATCTCTTACAATTACATGCTTTTGCAGTCTGTTTTTTTTTTTTAAGTATTGTGCCAGAAATTAATTGTTTTAGTATAACAACAAAAATTAATTTCTATAGTAGATCTTAGTCTGAATTATGTATAATAATTGATCGCAGAAATGGGAAATAAAATAAAATAATTGTTTCCCGTGTCCAGTTGAGGAACTATAGTACTATAAATCGAGTTTTCAATTTTTAGTAAGGATCAAAATTGTGTTTTGATGTATTGTTTTAATCACCTAAAAAAGAAAAACGTTTTGAAATATTTCGAAAACTTTTCGATTCATTTTAGAAATTGAATAAAAAAATAAAAATAATAAGAATTATTTTTTCAAAATATTAGTCAAGATATACCAAAGTATCTTGTAGCACTTTAAAACATTATAAAACACCTCAAAACATTGTAAAATATCTCAAAATATTAAAGTTTTAATTTTATCACTAATTCATTCAGCTTCTTTAAAATCGCTCGGAAATAAATTTTTGATCCTCGATTGAAAAGAATCTTTCAGCTGATGGTTTATGTCCCCGGAATGGTCAAATTCCCCTTGGATGAGGGAATGCATTAATAGCCTTTTGGGGTAAGGTACATCCATGCATTATTGTGAACGACTTTAGGGTTTATACTACTATAAAAGGGATGGGACATGAGTTGATAGTGTGCAGTAAATGGGCAAACCAACCCATCCACCAAAATCCCCCGAGTTCACACCTTATTGCATCAGCGGTTGTACCACTGGCAATTACACTATTTCTCAATTAAACTAACTTGAGATTGTGGGTTCGAATATAATGATATTGTTTTGTGCAAAATTATGAGAAAATCATTTAGGTTGATACCCGATTTATACATTACCATGTGGTCTTTTAAAGGGAGGGAGGGAGGGAGGGAGGGAGGGAGGGAGGGGGGGGGGGGGGGGGGAGAATTTGAATTATGCATATTCGATTGCCATTTTTTTTTAGTTATTTAAAATGGAGAAGGACGACCAATAGGTAATAATTCTTAGGCGTGATCATAAGAGTCTATCCATTGTGAAATGGCCGATTCAAACTATGGATACTAACTCGGAAGAGCAGCATGTCACCATAATATCATCAAAATCATGAAGCAAACCGTGTTATTCTTGTAGATCGTATCTTATTTTATAATCATACGAGAGTCAGGAACGATTCTAAATAAATAAAATTTAATATTAAATAGCCAGCTCGGATGGTGATTGCCAACTGCCTTGATGGATAGACAAATTGACCACTCTATTAAAGAGGTAGCTTGACCAAAACACTTGAGCATTCCTTTCACTCGTCTCCCTCCATGATCACATCACACAATAAAAATGGGCAATTGACTCATCAATATGAATCCTTCAATCATAGCGGTAGTCCTCGCATATTCAATAGCTCAAGCATCTAAGTGCGTGGGAGGATCTAAACCACTGAGTCAATTTACATTCTTGCCTATGCCTTTGGAAAAAGAAAATGGTGAGAAAGGATCAAATTGATCAAATTATGATTCAAACTGATTGATTCTAACACTCTATGACAGTTTACAACTGAATTTCATTGAGTCACAGTTTTAACATGTTATGATCTTGATATGATTCGATTGACTTATAACTTGACTCAACCTAATTTGTCGAATCTGTCCTTCTATATCTCCTACAAACTCAACCAACGAAGAACTTCTTCGATTTTTTTATTTTGGTCCTATAAACTTTTCCAAGAAATTAATGGACTCCGACATGAAAGTGTGCAATGAGGATGACATTTGAGCTACTCAGGTCATTCAATAGGTGAGACCCACTAAGGTAGGAAGTCATCAAGATCAAAGGTATTGAAGAATGGTCTCTAAGTTGCCTAGGAAATAGGGTTCCATTGAGGTTGTTAAACCTCATATTATAATTTCATTGCTTCCTTACATTCTAATATAATTTCTATATGTTCCACAGTGATTTTAATATAATTATAGGGAGAGACATCCAATATTCTTTATATTAATATTAAGCCCATCTCCTTCTTCTTTCCTAGGATGGCAGTGTTAGATTCAAATGTTGACTTGAACTATAATCTCCTCTCCCATATCTTCCCCATCCTTCTCATAAAACACACACACACATTATTCTTTTAGTTCAATTTCAAACCACATCATCATTAGCATCAATGGTTATAGGGATAACCTAGTTGGTGCTTGCCTTGGTTTAGCCTGGGCCTTGCAGCTTACCCTTTTGTCTTGATACTTCTACAAGTTGATGCCAAATCATTATGTCAAAGTTGTTTAAGTCAAGTATATCCCTTAGGAACAGGTCATGAGAGATTTATTTCTCATGAATACCCTAGTTCCGGTGTAAAGAGTCTGCCGTTGATTGGATCGTAAAGAAAATTAATTGAAGTACATATAAGCTAACCCAAACAATCTCGACCGTTAAACTAAAATAAATAAAAATTGTTTAGGTCTAGCTTGTTACCCTATTGGTCATAGCTTGAGGATGAAGCATAAAATGTCATTACTGGCCTCTGATAATCAAGAATGTTAGGAGAGGTGGATCAGAAGCAGGCCAAATATTTGATATTATTCATGCAAAGTGACTATACTCGAATTTTAGTATACAATATGAAGGTTGTTAGTCCGACATTTTTACTATCATGTGGTGAGTTATGTTTAACCAAATTTTTAAAATTATACTAATTTGCAAACTAGTAAGTTTTCTTTTAACCCTAACTAGACCGTCTTTTTTATTCAAAAACGACATACAATGAATTGACTAAGATGGAAATCTTCCACACATGTAGAATGACCAATTAGTTTTTGGGTAGCTCTATTGACTTTGTAATCTTCATATGATTTAAAAATGAATCAGAGTTAAAGAAGTATTATTGACATATCAAAGTGCATATGAAATTTAGAAATGGAAACTTCCCAGATGCATCAATACATATGTGTAAGAACTGTCGGCAAAGGAAAATTGTGTGATTAATAGGTGCACATTTATGGGTGTGCCAGTTCCCCCAGTACTACCTCCCCCCCCCCAAAAAAAAAAAAAAAAAAAAACCCAACCCGACACACACATTGGTTATTGGTACCCGTAATTGGTGCCCAATGTCGAAAGAGAGCATTTACTTGCTCCATCTAACACCATATGCGAAGAAATTTAGAAAACCAGTTTTGTGCATGTGCGCGTGCACGTGTGCGTCCCCATGGCATAATGATTGATATTTTTTCCTATTGGCAAGATTGGGAGAATGAATGATATAACGATCAATCCAGCGGAGCTTTGGACGTTTTTGAAAGGGCTTGAATTCTTGCTAAGGCGACAGATTACCAATGTTGTTGTGGAAACAGACTCGCTAGAAGCTGTTAAGTTGCTTTTGTTTGATCCAGACGAGGTCCACTCAAACAGAGCCATCATCAAGCTACAGAAATATGGCGGGGACTAACCATATCCCCATTCTTCACAGTCCACACCTTCAGAAAAGGAAACTAATGTGCAAACATATTGGCTAATTTTGGTGTTTAATAGATGGAGGCATTTGTGGAGCTACAAGATCCACCACCCCAAATGTCAAATGTTTTTTGTGGCTAATATGGCCAGTATTGTTTATTTTAGGAACTCTATTTAGATTAGGTCTTTTAACTTTCCAATG